TAGACAAAATCCTATCTCACAGCCATAAATACTGCACTCCCAAAGCCAGCTACACCAGAGCACTGAGTGCTGTCCTCTGAAGATGCCGGCCACAGAGACTGGTGAAACGTTAGGAAGAACAACCTTCAGAATACAGCCAAAGAGCCCGAAAAACCCACAACAACCATGATGAGTCATTGTTACCTTTCCTTATTTTGAGCAAATTATTTATTACTGTACCACAGTATTCCTCAGCTTTACAGTGGGTCTAATGTCTTCTGAGTGGTAGGTGTGGTATGATGCATATTTGACTTGACATATAATATGTTACCTGGAGCCATCTCTGTGCATCTGCTTTTCTTTCCCACTAGTAGTACATTGTGTTAGTTTTGCGATTGGGGTGTCAGACTTTTTCCCATGCCCATCGTCTTGCGCACAAAGGTGTCACTACTGTGAAAAATAGGAGAGGATTATATTAGAATGTGTGTGGAGCCAATATTGGCCATGTCATAGTTAAGCCACACATCTTGCATTGTATAACACAATGTGACCTCAGTTGTTTGAAGGCCTGTGAATGCTTGTTACTTGTAGAATTCAGGTGAAGAAAGTGTAATATTTGTGGGTATATATAAATCTGTTTATTCTTGTGTTTCTTGGGTTCTAGCTCTGGAATGGCCAGCCAAGAAACAGAAGTTCAGAGACTGATATTCTATAATGATTCAATGATAGAAGGAATAAGTGACCAGGTACTGCTGGCAGTAGCGCTCAGCTTCACATTCATTGCTGTGCTGGCATATATGCTTTTAAGGTGAGATGTTGGCAGTGTGACGAAGAATACATTTTTTGCACTATGTCATATGCATATATTTAAGATAAATTAGGTTATTCTGATGGTTTGAGCAAACTTGTTATTTGATTGCAAGTGCTGGAATTGAATAAGAGAGACTTGGGTTCAAATCTCTTTCCAGCTGCTTTGCTTATTGGGCTTTGGCCAGTTAACTTTTGTCATTATATATCTGAACAAGATTGTTAAGTTAATATAAGATTATCCTTTCCATGTGCATGTTTGCATGCTTCTCATACTCAACATATTTAGCAAGTTAGCCAGACTGGGGAGAAGAGGAAGCTCCAATGTTTTAAAAGAATTCTATATCATAACCTACCTCAGAAGTTTATCCTGTTAACTCACTTTAAACCAGCCATAAAATGCTAAAAATGTAATACTGACCCACAATTATTTTTTGTTCCTGTAGATGCTGTTATTTAAACTTTGAAGTCAAATTTTAAGATAAACCCAACTGCAAAACAACAAAATTTATTCAGTCACTGAGATAGATTTCTGAGGCTTCATTATCATGAAAGAAGAATAGTGACAAGGTTACTTTCAGCTGAAATGTTCATGGCTATTAAAGAATAATTTCAAAAGATTTTCTCTTTTTTAAGCATTTATTTTAAAAATCACTTAATGGGAAAATCCTGTTGGTGTAACTTTGCACGCTATAACCCATATCAAGTGCCAAAAGCATTTTAATTTAAAGAAATTAAAATCTTCCTATCCCACTTTCAAGACTCCCTAGAGAAGCATTTTAGGAGCCTTTGGAATAAGAATAACAACATTGCTGCTGGATTACTGGCTGGTCCTGATTCTTGTGGTGGCAATCCAGCAGCATATTTATTAAAAACTAAGAATGGCTCCTCCAACTCTTGAGGCTTCCAAAGGCTTTCCCAGGGCAAAGGGGAACCCTAGGGAGCCTCGGGATCTAAAATGGGGAATTAGTTTAAATTAAATACTTTTGGTACCTGATCTGGATTAAACCAGCACAAAGTGACACAATATGATTTTTCCATTGTTCATCTTTTGATTGGGGTTTTGCTGAGAAGTACCGTCTAGATGACATTGCACTACATGTAACACCACCGTAATCATGAAGCAAATTAGAATTAGAATTCCGGTTTAGAATTCTGCCTCAGAATTCTAGCCTCTGAATTCTAGCCTTAGAGTTGTGAATGTGATGAAGTAATACTATTGTATCTGATTCTGTTCTTGAAGTGTTTCATTACTGTTTTATTTGTGTAATTTCACATAATTGTGTTTTGCCTTAGCAGAAATGAGCACCCAGATATTCATCCGGAAAATCAAGAGCTGGTGAGAGCAGTTAGACAACAAATACAGTCAGAACAGGTAATATCTAATTGTGTTTTGTTTTTAATCTTTCTTGTATTGACTGCCTTTGGTGCCAGCTCTCTCTCAGAAAATATTATAATCTAATCACTGGGCTAGAAATAAATGTGAGCATGGGGAATGCTGGCCTAAATCTATTTGCAAGTCCCAGCTAAAATAGACCTATTGAATCAGTTGCTCAATGGTAGGTCAGCACGTGCATATAAATATGTAAAAAAGCCAAGTGTGCTGCTTATATATTGCCCCATTGTGCTTAAAACACTGTCTGGGAGGTATACAATTTCTAAATTAATTATAAAGACTACACATTGCCCTCTCAGGGAGCTGGGTTCTCAATTTACTGACCTCAAAAGGATGGAAGACTGAGTCATCTTTGAGCCAGGTATCTGAGCCTGTCAGGATCAAATTCAGGTCATGAGCAGAGCAGTGCTGACTGCAGTACTGCAGTTTAACCACTGCATCAGAAGGCTCGTTTGTTCAGTCAATCTGCTCTAGTTGGGACTGACTATTAGATTTAGACCTTTATGTTTCCCTCAGCTCCTTGTGCTGAGACCAAATCTGGTTATATTATATGGAGACAAGAGATGGAAAATCATGTCTCATTACCCTACTGAAATAACTACAGATTATTTTCCCCTCTATTTCCAAAATTTAAGGGTCTGTGCCGTTACAGTGGTGCCTCGTATAACGAGTGCCCTGTTTAACGATGAATTCGCATAGCGATGGCATTTTTGCCATCGCTTTTGCGATCGCATTACGAAGTGCCTATGGGGGAAAATCGCCTTGTGATGTTTTCCCCATAGGCACCATCTCCCCCCAGCTGAGCGGCGGGAGCCTCCGAAGGAGTGCTCCCGCAGCTCAGCTGGGGGAAAATGCCTGCGGTGGCCTCAGAAGGACCCTTCCGAAGGGTCCTTCCGAGGCCACCGCTGGGATTCCCCTTCCCCGCGGCCGGCTTCCCCGGCCATGGTCGGACTCTCAGGAGTCCGACCATGCATGGGGGAGCCTGCCGCGGGGCGGGTCCAAGCCCCGGGGAG